ATAAATCCAATTTTGGTCTTCGAATTCGTCTTTAATAAAAGATCACTTATAACGTGTGGGTTAACACGGGCGCCTTTTTTTCATCATACTGTATATTCTTTAATAGGGGATAATAAAAAATCAAAATCTTTCTCAAGCTTTTTTCTTTTATTGGGAACGACCGGTTTCGGCTTTAGGCCATCTTCTGGTTCCAATACTATTAACAAGATTTTTCAGTTTTAAAAGGATTATTAGAAGACATAACAAACACTTTAAAATCAAAAATTAAAATTATAATAATATATTTTTAAGCTTTTTGAAAATGACATAGCCATCTATGATTCCCATTAAAAAAATAGAAGTTTATTTTATTACGGCTTAACAAACAATTGAAAAAAATTGTTAACTACATTATTAAATTCTTCATAAAAAAGTGCCTGTATAATCTCTTTATTTCAAATCTGTGTCTTCTTTAATAAGGAAGATATGTTTTTTTTACATTTCGCTAAAATGTCAATTTTTATCTATAAGTCGAAAACAAAAGACGATAGCGGGATGCGGTTTTAACTTACATTATTTTCTCAAAAAATGAGACCCAGAATGTATCACTCGTTTTTGGCTAAACTTCTTAGTTTCGGAGATTCCCTCTTCGGACATCCAAAATGCAGCACCCTGTACATTAAATTCCAGCATTCTTCATAATTCGCATTTACGACTAAAATTCTTAAGCTCACGCCATTAAATTTTTGATTTAACCCAAAATAAATCTCTCTGGTGCAAATATAATGAAAGTGATAATACCCGAAGAAGTCCGTAACTCTAAGTTAAATAAATCATCGAGGTTAATTATCCTTCTTGAATACTTTAAAGGGGAGAAAGTTTTTTTCAAGCAATTTTGTCCAAAAGTTGCAAGAAAATTAGGTCAAGTCTCCCTCGTATTTTCGCATCGAGACCTCCCTCGCGACGCCAAACGCAACATAACCGAGTTGGGGAGAAAGTAAGAGGTGTAAAGAGAACGGTTAGACAGCCCATTAATATAGCGGAAAGACAACAAGGTTATATTACACACTATCTGACCCAGTTTGAGCCTCTCCTCAAAACAGAAGTCCTCGAAAGAGACTTTGGCTTATCTTTCTGGTAAAGGGCGTTTAGAACAAGCTTCTCAACTAGATTTAATTAGCTTGGAAGCGAAGTCAGTTTTTTAGTTCACTGTGTGTATGCTTAGTTCTTTGCTTCTCTTTGTCACAGCTCAAATGTCGGCAGTAATCTGGTTAATGACTTTCCAGTCTGTGACCTTTATTTTTACTTTTTGTCTTCATCTTATTGTAAGCCATAACACTAAAAAGTTAGAGTAATTCAACTATTTTTCAAATTTCTGATTTGTAACCAACCTTACTCAACAATAAAAAGACTTGCGAATTAAATTTGCAAATGGCTAAATAATAATGTAACTGTAAAGAAATTAGCTTCCGTTTCTCGAAACTAAATTCATTTAAATTTTTGTCTATATTCAAGAGATTCCTTACTTTTTACTTTGAACCGTTAGAAAATAATATTTCTATGTGAAAAAATTACCCTCAAGCGTTATTTACGACGGGAACAGTTGATAAGAAACAAGCAAAACACTAAATTATGAAAAATGCGAAATATCGGAAAGTCATTTCTGCACCATCTGACCTGACAAAACTTAAAAAATTTACGCTGTTCTTGTACAATAAAATATTGATTAGGCGCAACCGACGCTGTTGCCTTTTTTAATTAAAAATAAGCTTAGAAGCGTCACATGCAATCAAACTGGATTTAATACCAAAAGATCTGGTAGGCTTTAACGACCATCAGAAATGTTCCAGTTGAGTTATTTGTTCGAGATAAATTGAAGGCACGTTGAAATCAATTTAATTGTTTATCGCAACTTTCACTCCGTTACGTCACTATAATTTTAGATTCGATTTGTTGATTTCTTGGCTAATAGATACGAGTACCTATATCAACAACTAATTTAAAAGAAGTGATGAGTTTCTTGACGTAAATTGAGGTAGAATATATAAGTTCTCCAGGGGATTGGTTCATTAGTTTTGAGAATATGATTAACAACGACATTGCATCCCCAATTGTGTAATTTGTATTGTGCCACATACATATTTATGC